ATTTGGTTTGAATTGAATAGCTATGAATAAGGTTGAATTACATTGTTAATTTCACTCCACTTGGCTTAGATTTATGGTGATCATTGGATGTAATGTTTCACAACACTTTAAAGGTTTTAGAGTATTCTTTATTAAGCTAATTGTCATTACATGTTGCAAATCTGGAATTCAAGGATTATCATAAGGGATTCTAACTTGAGTTCATCATCTTATTCATTTACATCAACACATTCAAATCAAAAAAATTACAAATATCTAATTCCTAGCAATTTAGATAATAGCAGAATCATATCTTCATTCCTTTAATTTGTTGGCAATTGAACCATAATGCATTGCTTTCTTGGGAGATGACCTAGAATGCTCCTAATTACATTCTAGTTTTATTTGATAGCCTAAAGCAACTTAGGGTTTCATCAATTGGTGCTGTTACTGGGGAGCAATTAGCCATATAAATTGTTTCATTTGCTGTTTTTATTTTGTGTTCATTTTTGTTAAATCTAGAATTTGTGACTGTGGTGGCTAGCTCGTGTAATTGAGCATTTGATCTCTTTATTGATCTTGTTTGCTATTGGATTTAGCCATTAAGTCATTGATTTTGGACATGAGTTCCAAAACTGTCAAGGTTAGCTCAAGTGCCCGCAAGCTGTGAGAATTTGCTCTGCTTAGAAATTTTGCATGAAATTTGGACAGGTATAATTTTAACTAGAAATATCATTTTGAGCTAATTCTTATTTCATTGTGTTCCTAATTATCTTAGAAACATTTTTTTCTATTGGACACAATTGCTAATTCAGCCATTAAGTTGGTTGAATTTTTACTTGGCTGAAATAGGGTTCACTAGAATTTCCAGTGCTGAAGACCCTAATTCAAAAATATATTGGGAAGAATTGACTATGAATTTTTGCTTGAAAATTGGACTCTATAACCTTTTGTGTGTTGAAAGTTCCAGGTAAAAATTTCAACTCAATTTGATTTAGGATCAAAGAGTTGTGTACTGAACAAGCACATAAGGTCCACTGCTTACTCCCAGTGACACTCCAGGTAGACAGGGCTAATTTTGGATAAGCATATTTCTTTCCCTGCTTAGAATTTTTTTTAGAAAAATTCCTACATATAATTCAATGTTTTAGCTTTAATTGTTAGGTTTTAGTTTTTACTAATTTTGTCCTTTTCACTTTCAAAAAATTTTTACAAAAATACTGCTTCAGTGTATTTCAATTCTACCAGTTTTCAAAATTTTTGCCTATTTTTGAATTTTTTATTTTTCTTCGGTCCAATGCTATTTTTGTGGTGTTCTGAGCTTTATATGTCTTGTTACTTGTAAAGAACTTGGTGAAAATTATATTGAATTTAGAGATCAATACTTAGAGTTCTTAACATCTTCTCTTCCAAACACAATAGTTGATAATTCTGTAATCTTGGACAGGATGGCTGATAGATTGCATGCTAATGAACATGAAATACCTACTAGGAGGAGTATTAGAGAAATGGTAGCACCCACTGACACATTTAGACCTAGTGGTTTGTTTTTGAATTTACAAGAACAGAATGAGTATGAAATCAAATCTTTACTAATTAATGCTTTGCCAAAATTCCATAGCTTTGCAGGTAAGGATCCTAATAGGCATCTTCAAATACTTAAGAGGGTTTGTTTAACCAAGAAGCCTCCCATAGTAAACTTGGAGAATTTGATGCTCAAGGTCCTCTTTTTTACTCTTGAGGACAAAGCAATCACATGGTTCAATACTCTTGCCACAAGGACCATCAATTCTTGGGTGGAGATGTGAAATTACTTTCTTGAAAAATATTTCTAGCAACCAAGTATTCTCAACTAAGGAAGTAAATCATGGAGATTTAACAACAGCCTCAAGAATCTCTTTATGTGTATTGGATGAGGTTTTTAGAGTTGCTTGCAAAATGTCCATACCTAAATGTGGGCAAGGAGTTCCTCATTGATTATTTCCATGTGGGGTTACAAATTCATGACAAAGAGACTATAGATGCTGCTGCAAATGGTTCTCTATTAGATCTTCCACCAGATGATGCATGGACCTTGTTGGAAAAGCTTGCAAATAATAACCAATAATATATCTCAAGAGATGCAAGGGGTGTTCACCAAGTGGGCCAATTTTCTATAGCTAATTCCTAATTGGAGAATATCTACTCTTAATTGGATTTTCTCAAGATGTCTTTCTCCAATCCTCCACAACCTCAAATTGCTTCTATGTCCAATGCTCTAGTGGCTCCTATTTGTGGTATATATAATTCCATAATACATGTCACCTCTAATTGCATGCATGCTTAAGATGTTGGGGCTGTGCATCAACAATAAAGGCCCTACAATTATCAACATAATCAAAGGGCAATAAACAATTTTGAGGCTAACTATTAGAGCACCTATAACCCAAGTTGGAGGCAGCACCCTAACTTTAGCTATAAGGGTAACCAAGAGATTGTGCAAGCTAAAAATTCTCAAGCGATCCATATTCAAGATGGTAGGGGTGATAAACAAATGTGTTCCTACCTTAAGAGGACGGGTGATGCTATGTTTTCTATAGGCCAAAAGTTTGATTTTCATGTGTCTAAGGCAGAATTGAAAATGGACATAATGCTTAAGAGACTAAATAATCTTGAATCAAAATAACAAAGCACTGATTTGGTGGTGCAACAATTTGGGAATTCAAATAGCATTAGCGAAGCTCAAGTAAGTGAAAAGCTCCCAACTCAACCTATTATCAATCTAAAGAGCCTTAATGCAATTGAGTTGAGGAGTGGAAGAGTTCTTGAAGCCATTCCAAGTGCCCCAAACCATGGTGACAACAAGCCTAATGAGTTTGTTACAAGAAATTCTCAAATTTGTGAAGGAAGCCCACTCTCTCTTGATTCTCCACGTGATTCTACTTGATTCTCCCCATTTTCTAGAATTAGTTGCTTAATTTTAATTCCATTTTCCAGCTGAAAATTAGCCATTTCAAATCTGAACTTTTCTTGTTTTTATCACCATTTATTTTGGTTTTATCACCTTCACATTATTCACACATACATAAGCCTAGTTTTCAGATTAGGGCCTCATAATTTAGATCCCATTCTCTCTCTTTAGCTCAATTTTCTCTCATTTTCTCTCATCTTCTTGATTCAGTTTTCATGCCATCTTCTTCATCCTTTCAAGTCCAGATTCATTTCGTCTCCTTCTTCCTTCATTTCACGTCCAGATCTTTAGCTATTTTCCTCTAAATTTTCATCCATTACACTCTCCTTTCCATAATTTCATTCAGCACACACCAATTTCAGATTTCATCTTCATCTTCATACATTCATGGGGCTTCTCAAGTTCTGATTCAAGTGAAGAGGAAGAGCATGAGTGACTGATCCTCTTTTGATCTTCAAGGAAGATGAACCTGTGGTTTGAGTATTTCATATTTGCCTTCTTAATTTGTAATTTCAATTCTGCAATTTCTTCTATTTTCTTTCAAGGATTCAAAATTATTGTTCAGGTTGGATTATGATTTTGATTCCAATTACATGTTAGATTGAAGTTGTGGATGTTAGATTGAATTTTTATATTGTGTTTCAGTTCTGAAATTTATGAATTTAATTGAGTGTTCTTGAATGCATTCATATGTTCTCGATGTTTTTGTTCAGATTTCTCCATATTTCAAGCTAGATCCATATGTGTTTATATGAATTTGGTTTGAGAAGTTTTTTTGCCACTTAATTTGGTCTGAATTGAATAGCTATGAACAAGGTTGAATTACATTGTTAATTTCACTCCACTTGGCTTAGATTTATAGTAATCATTAAATGCAATGTTTCACAACACTTTAAAGGTTTTAGAGTGTCCTTCATTAAGCTAATTGTCATTACATGTGTGGTTGCAAATATGAAATTCAAGGATCATCATAGGGGATTCTAACTTGAGCTCATCATCTCATTCATTTATATCAACACATTTAAATTAAAAATTACAAACATCTAATTCCTAGCAATTTAGATAATAGCAGAATCATATCTTCATTCCTTTAATTTATTGGCAATTGAACCATAATTTGTGTACATTGCTCTCTTGAGAGATGACCTAGAATGCTCCTGATTACATTCTAGTTTTATTTGATGGCCTAAAACGACTTAAGGTTTCATCAATGGATGTCATAAAATGTAACATCTTTTTATGGATTACAAATAATGTTCTTTTTTAGTTTGTAGTTAATTCCATTCAGAAAGGTTAATGGATAGACATTTATATAGGACATCATAAGCAGAAGACATCTTCATGGGAAACCTAATTAAGAATTACTTGATTTATAATCTATAGAAAAAATAAATACCTATTTGGATAATCCTCAAAAGTACATTCAAATCACATTTGAAATATACTTTTGCTAAATCCAATAAATAGTTGAATATTTTAAATATATTTTGTCAAATATAAATTAAAACCCAAACAGGTACTAAATTGAAAATCATATCTTAGGCTTGTTTTCAAGACCACCATAATTTGTCTTGGGCTTGCAATGACTGAGCAACCATGTTGGCACCAAGCATGGCTGCTCAAAGGTGATAAATCTCATCAAAAACACAATTCTTTCTTTTTTCCAACTTTCACTGCTCTTCTTCCCCTTCTTCTTTTGTCTCCAGCCTGATACTTCTTCTGTATAACTGTTGCACTTGTGCTTCTTTCCAGCTTTCCTGTTTATTTACACAGAGGAACAAGTAACATCAACAGAAACAGAATGGCTGTGCCAACCATTTTTGAGTGTTACATGGTAAGCAACACTTTAAGCACTTATAAATTCATTTTTATTCATAAATTTAATTACGGTAAAAACCATTTTTATGAACAATGTGTTTTTTATTATTGTATTTTTAAAAAAATATATTAGCAGTTGAGATTATATAATTATAATTGTGTTTTGTTTTCTACTTATTTTCTTTCATGGTTCAGTTTCAAGAGTAAACAATTTTTTTCCTTTAAAAATTGGGGAAACATCCTCAAATCCTCAAGCACAGGTCGTGGATCTAGGCAAAAAGGGGGAAAAAATCGTCAAAGGAATAAACTCGGCAAAGGACATGTGTGCCCGGGAGGAAAAGAAGGCTTAGCTTAACGTCAAAAATCTAATAACACCGTTGATAATGAACATCAAGACCGTGTTGTATCGATTCTCGAATCACTGGTGAACTCAGGCGAAGCGTCACGCTTGCTCGTGACTCTGACACAGCACATTAATCTTCAGTTTCAACCTTAGGGTTCCTCTGTTCTTCTCGCCAAAATCTTAGGGCTCACAATTCATACATTTCCAAGCTTATGGCGAAAACTAGACCGGGAAGAAAGGACTTGGACTCCTATACCATTAGAGGTACCAACAAGATCGTCAGAGGTAAATCGCTATCTATTTCTTCTCACGAAGTACCCAGTTCTGTTTCTATGTTAAAAATCGTTCCTTTTGTGATTTTCTGGTCTTTGATTTCCAAGGATGTGCTTTTGTGCTTTTTTTTTTTTTATTTTGTTGGGCAGCTGGAGACTGTGTACTGATGCGACCTTCCGACACCAGCAAGCCTCCGTACGTGGCTCGCGTGGAGAAGATCGAACAAGATAATAGGAGCAACGTTAAAGTTCGGGTGAGATGGTATTATCGGCCGGAAGAATCGATTGGAGGACGCAGGCAATTCCATGGAGCGAAAGAGCTGTTCTTGTCGGACCATTATGACATCCAAAGTGCCCACACCATTGAAGGGAAGTGTATTGTTCACTCTTTCAAGAACTACACTAAACTTGAGAATGTAGGAGCTGAAGATTACTACTGTAGATTTGAATACAAGGCTGCTACTGGGGCTTTCACCCCAGACCGTGTTGCTGTGTGAGTTATTTTTGCTTTCTTGTTGGAATTAGGGTGTTTGGAGAATTGGATTACAATAACCAATGGGTTTCTGTTGATTTGGTTTGCATATTGAAGGTATTGCAAATGCGAGATGCCTTATAACCCGGACGACCTCATGGTGCAGTGTGAGGGGTGCAAGGATTGGTAAAATCATTGTATTCTGCTTCACTTTGCCCATTATTAATGTATTTACTCACTTTTTGTTTTCTTGATGTTCAGATCTTATGAGTAGTAGTAAGATATGTTATTTACTTGGATGAAGTCATTGGATATGATTTTCCATCCCTGCAGAAGGAGCCTGGAGTTTTAACATGCTGTAAGGTCAATAAATATTGATCCTAAAACATAATTGAACAATGATGATGATTTTCAGAGCTAAAGACTTCTATTTTGAGAAGATTTTAAAAGATGGCTTGAACAAGTCATATGGTACATTAATTTTGATAATTAATCCTCCATTTTGGCATGCTAAAGTTTTGCATGTTGGAACTACGAATTCTATATCTCCCATCTATTGTCTTTGTATTACGAGTTACGACTCTGAATTTTGTGATGTTTCTTTTCCCGTATACAAGTTAGCTAATACAAATTAAATGATTCATTTGCTTAATCTTTACAATGATTGGTTTGGTGTAATTTTGAAAACTTTGCTTGGATAAGTTTGTTAAAATCCATGCAAGGTTGGGGGTGTAGATATAGTGCATACGTTAATTAACACTACCTTTTATGGTATGATGCTTTGATACATTGCAAGATTGTTAGATTTCTAGAATGTCCTGAAAATATTACTTTTGCCATTGCAAATTATAAGAAACTTTTAGACAAAATCTCTCATACCAATAAATTTTATTAAATACACTTCATTTAATATATTGAAAAGAGAGAGGGATGAGAATTAAATATATAGAGAGAAAAGTTAATATTGGAATAAAAGTATCTATTTAATGAAATCTTAATTTTCTCAAAATGTCTAGTTTGGGACGCTGAATGTCTCTCAAAAGTGTTTCATAATTTGGGATGGAGGAAGTATTATTTTAGTTTTTGATATATTTTTAATATCTCTATATGCTTTATCAAATACATATTTCAATCTTTGTAGGTTTCTTGTAGGTATCATCCTGCTTGTGTGGGCATGACTATTGAAGAAGCCAAAAAACTGGACCATTTTGTATGTTCTGAATGTTCATCTGATGATGACATGAAAAAACCCCAAGCTACATTTTCTGTATCACCAACATCTGATGGCAAGGTGAAACCTGCCTGCATCCTGTCCCTTATAATTTTATATACCCCTTACTTTTGCTTCTATTTATCTTGTTTCTCTAACATATTCCTCACACCACCACCCCGGGAGAGGTATAGAGAAGTTGTGAAAATATTGGCAAGGAACTGATGGCTGGTTCAATGTTTGGTGTATCATTCGGAGATTAATGGAACATTTTCTTCTATAGTGTGCTCTCAGGACTGTTGGTCTTGAATTTGATAATGTAGCGCAGCTGGTCTCTGCATTTATAAGATTAGAGTGCTTGATTTGTTCTTGTATAGAAATTTAATTTTTCATGTCATTTCAGTTATTTATTTCAGGCAACATGTTTCATAAGACACACAAAAACAAAATTGGTAAAATCAATAATTTACCAAACTTGCACACTAGTTCATTAGCCAATCATATTTTGCTATGTTTGTATTCTCAATACAGTGCCCAATTAATAGCCATTGTATTTTTCAGTTGAATACGTACAGTAAACTGATTTATTTTTTTTTATTTTCCTTTTTTGAATAAGCAAACTGTAATTAGTTGGGGCTGTGTGTTTGTCCAAATTAAACAAATGAATGGGGATGACAATGATACCTCTGCACTGTTGAAATATGTTTTCATGTCTTCCAATGTTTTGTTAAAGCATGTGTGGCGGTTTTAGCTTCCTTTCATTATTAAATTTGAATGTGACTAGATATAGCTGCAATTGTTTTGTCCTCATGAGCTTTTCGCTTATTGTTACTATTTGACATGGCAGGCATAGATTTTTGTCTTGCTCAAGCTGTTCTTTTACTAAGTTGATCTGAACAAATTCGTTATGTTTTCCATCACCTAGCCTTGTTTGCAAATTCCTAAATGGGAAAAACTATAAAACTCTGGTCAAGCAAATTTCTCCTGGGTTAACCCTTATTCCTCCAATCTGGATTCAGTTGCCTCTAGTTTTTCCCCCCTTCTTTATGAACTTTTTCATTATCACTGAATTTGCTTGGCTGATAAAATATTAAATTGTGTTCTCATGTGTCGGGAAATATGGAATAAGTTTGACTAAATTGTCTAACGACATTTCTTTCTATGCTTTGATTAGTTTGTACTGGTAGACCATCTTTTGAGTCTTTTAGGGCCAAGAGATATAGTTTTAACGTGTATTTCTTTGATTGTCATGACTTTTCAGAAATTATCTTTTAATGGTTGAAACTACATGCTATTGACATGCTTGTTCAGAGGTTCGGTTTGATCCATATGATACTTGTTTTATGGAGATGGGGCTAGGCTGAAATTTATTGGAGGTTAAATTGGTGATTACACTGCTTGTTGCCAACTATAAATAAATTTAAAAATGTGATATTTGAAGGCATGGTAAATCAATCAATATTTGACCATTTTTGTTCTTGGTGTTATTTGGCCTACTTAAGATCAATTATTTTTAGTGCCGTTGCATTAATTTCAAGTGGCATTCCTTCTTTAGGTTAGTTTATGGTATGAATGGGCTTGCATTTCTTTATGCTAGTGATTAAAGTGCGGAGTTGGAATTCAATGATGTCATGTCTTTGATTTTTATAAGATGAGAATTTGCATGTTTTAGTTTCTGTGTGCATTTGCGGATAAGTGATTTTTCTTTTAATAAAAAGATGTCAGAAGTTTTTTCTGCAGGTAGTACCACCTTCAATTGACCTCCTTTCTGGATGCATCGTTCTGTGCACATATATCACTTCCTATTTTGGTCCGTTGAATTGTGCAAGTGTTTTCCGCAGAAGCATTTTCCTTTGAATACATAAACTCCACCCATTAGTGCTGTCTTATCTTTTGTGGGAAGAAATGAGAAGAAAGGAATACATTCCTCTCAATCATTCATTTCACTTTACCTCCTCCTATACAGTGTCTGGATTTAGAATTCCCATTTATTTGGGAGTATAAAAGGCTCTCAAATTCTTTCTTTGAATTCCCAATTTGGGTTCTGTTTGTCATTACTAATTGCTCAAATTTCTATGAATTGGCAGGTGGAGCCCAAACGGCGGAAGAGATGACCGTTGCAGGGACAAGACTGTCAAAAGACATGGAGGCTATGAAACATGCTATATATTTGACTCTTGTGTATGTACCCGTGTTCATTACATCCTTAACATTCGATAACGTCAAACCTTTAGACTTTGGAGTACCAGGAAATTGCCACCCCCAGTTTAAAGTCTATTGGTCTCTTATGGTCCTTCACTGTACTATGCTGACCAAAAACGCTGGGTGATATTTGATGTGATCTTTATTTTCTCTTTTCTGTAAAGATTTCTTCTATTCCAATTATTTCGACCGGAGTTGGTAGTTTTGCGGCATGGGTTTGATGACGAGAGATAGGTTGTAGGTTATCTCTTTCAATGATTTTGCTTCGTTTGACCCAAAAAAAAAAAAAAACCCAAGAATCTCTTTTTCTATCATTTTTAAGTGGATCCTAGTTGCAGTTTTGACTCGATCGGAAGATGTGTTGTTAATGCTGACTAATTTAAATTTATGTGAAGAAAAATCCAATAACCCCTATCATTTTTAAGTTAGAATTATTTCTTAACATTATTATGTCTGATGCTTATAATCCACCAGTAGAAAATTAGGAGGGACATCAAAGGGCAAAAAAATAATAACGAGGAAAACGAGGTGAAAAGGACAACATCTGTTGACGTCCGCGAAGTGGACAAGTGATATTTTCACAGGCTTACAGGTCCATATATGTGTGCACTTGATTATGAGTATAGCTCCGATAAGCATGATTTGTGGTTTTGATGAGCTATGAACCATGCAGAGAGTGATACAAATTACAAAGAGAGAAATAATGCTCATGCAGAGAGTGATACAAATTACAAAGAGAGATACAAATTACAAAGAGAGAAATAATAAAGGAAGAACGACGTATAGGTCTAATGAAATTAATTAATTTAAATTAAATCTTAACTAATTTTAAAGACTTAAACTTTAAGAATTCGTAAGTTTAACTTTTAATTTTATAATTTTATTATGATAAATTTGTAACTTATATTTTAAATTTTAATAAGAAAAATAAATTTATTTATTCTTTCTTTAATCATGTTAAAATTTAAAAAATAAATTATAAATTTATTATATTGAAGTTGTAAAATTGAAAATTAAATTTATAAATTTATGATGTTTGACACTTTAAAATTGATTGATACCTATTTAAATTAATTGATGATTGGTCCCCTTGGACTTATCTATCATTCTCCCAATAATATAAGCACAAGGCATGACGTGGGCGTTGTTGCAGCACTATGATAGGAAAGCTTCCATTTTGTTTTGCTTTGGTGGGAATGGATGTGGCATTTGTGTATGTGTTGCGTTGTGTGTATTGCATGGGAGGGTTGACGAAGCCTTGAGACTTGAGAGCACGTGCAAGGCCTTTAGTTAAGTTGTTAGAAGCCTTAGCCTATATATAGCTAATTTCTATGTATGCCTTTTCGGCTTTTTTTTTTATGTCAATTAACTTTAGCGTCTCTCTTACTACTACTGTATCTGTATGATTAAAAACTGGCGTTTATTTCTCTGTTCCACGTAGGTCTTTCCTCTTATAGCATATTCTTAGGTTAATATATATTATATTTATTTATATATGCAATTAATATAAGGATAAATTGGTCCCGTGGTCGAAAAAGAATCTTGTGCATAATATAACACAAGAAAATATTAATACTTGCACGCACGCACGCACATCTCCTCAGAATGATCGGTCGTACCATCATATCAATCCATCATATGCTCCTTTTCAAGATCAACACATGTAGTTTTGTTTTAATTTCCTAACATTTATTTATTCCAACGTTACTTTTCAGTAAAAGTTATTTATATATATATATTTCCATTCAAAATTAGAAGACAATTTTTTTTTACTTTTTTCATGTTTAAAATATAAGGCATTTTGTTATTAATGATTTTTTTTAAAATTGACCTTAATAAATCTTTGAAATTAATGAGATTTTTCTATTTATTTATTTGTGATTAAGTTGTCCTGTTGCTTAAGGAGAGATATGAAAAGAGTGGACAATTTTAATGATGTTAATTATTTTTTAGAAATAAAAATTAGTTAAAAATATTTTTTTTGACTTTGAATGGAAGGAATATTATTTATTTTGTTATCTTTAGATTCATAATAATGGTAAGTGGCACTGGGAATAGTAGAGAACCTGAATGTCTACATTTACGAACAGTGCTTCCCCTCTACACCAAACAAATCCAGTTGTTGATTAGGATAACAGATTTTGAAAATGGCAATATTATAAATGGCATCTGCAACATCCCAATTTTTTTTAGGATTTAAGCAATATTATAATGGAATTTCCTTGATAATTGAGCATTTATCAAGTAAATATTTGCGTAAGGAGAAATTTACTTAAAAAATGAGTTAAATTTTTAGAATTTAATTTTCCCAGTCATATTTTTTAGAAAAGAAAGAAAGTGAATAAGGTTAGGTGAAATCAAATTAAATTATTGAAGATATTTTTTTTAACTTGACATATTATAAGTATTTTAATGTTATGAAAATTTTATGTGGGGCAAAATGTAAAAAGTTTGTTCAATCTTTTAAGCCTTAGGAGAGACTAAAGAAATAGAAATAGATAGAAATATAAAAAAAAAAAAGGGGGGGGGGGAGAAGATGAAAAATTTGTAATGAATGGGAATTATTGGGCCATGGCAAATGCACCCATAGCCTAAAAGCCATGGACCACTTGTGGGATTTCTTTTCTTCCTGATCCCTTCCCACTTTTACTTTCATCCCATTACGTTGTTCCCCCACCATTATTTTAGTTCGGCGCGCTGGCAGAAAAGTGAGCAATAGAGCATCACTACAGGGTAAGCTGAGAGGGATGGAATATTTGAAGTTAGGCTCATGATAGGATACCTTAAGAACGATTTGAAACTTTCTAAATCCAGATAAATTTTTTATGCATTTTCTGAGTATATATTTTTATTTTAATTTTAAATTATTGATAGTAGAAAATTTAGGGTTTGTTAAGTTTTGAATTTTTGGGTGTTTTTATTGGCTATTTAATTTTTTATACAGCTAATGATGTTAGAATAAGAACTTGTAAGGTTCAATTTTATCCAAATAGTTTATATGAGGAATTAAAGTTAGGTTTTAGTTGAAAGTTCGTGATTTGTGATTTTGGGTAGTGAATTATGTTGAATTTATTTATTTTGGGTTAATGAAGGTTATATTGATAATTAAATAGATTAGTTTTGAGATTGATGATTGAATGTGAATATTGGTGATTTTAATAGGTATTGTAAATGTTAGAATTTTGAGATTTATGATAACTTGAGGAAACTATTATTGTTTAATAACTCTAATGAGTGAAATGAGGTTATTGAATTATAAGATTGTAATGGATGGAGAAATTTATTTATGGTAATGAGTTGGAATTTTTTTTTAAAAATAAAGTTTAGAGAAAATTAATGTTTAGAAAAAGTGGAGCTTTCTTTGTAATGATTAGCAGTTTATTTGGGTTACAAAAAATATTTGTAAAGTATTAGGATGATGATTTGTGGCTTGATGCAAGCTCTAGATTTTTGGAATTTACTAAATGCAAAATTTAGGTTTTCAAGAAGTTATTTATGTTAAAAAGAGATTAAATAAGTGTATTAGATGTGAATTAACAATGGAGATGATTACATTTTAAGATTTAAAGTATATGGAAGGGTGTTAGCTTATTGTGGGTGATTAATTTAATCTTAGAATGATGTTGAGATGAGTATTTAATCATTGATATTAATTACATTTGGTGTTAAATTAAATATTATATAGAGCATGGTGTTAGCATTGTTGGTGGCGACAATTCACTTGTCCGAGAAAACTTGCTAGGAGCAATGATAACCTCTACTACTATATTGTGGTGTGTGACTATTGTGTGTTACGTGATTGATTATGCATGTTTTATTCAAAATGTAGTGTTATTTGGAAATATATGCTTTCCAAATGTATAATTATTGTTTGTAAAATTGTATTGCTAGTGGGATGAAAAAACTAGTATATATTTATGTTAGGTATAAAAATTTTATGTTTGGAAGTATGTAATATTGCTTGGAATTCATAATTTTTCAAAAATCATATATGCATGAATTGTTTTGCTATGGGAGGTTATTTGGGAGACTTATTATTCAAAAATAATTATACTCTGTGGTATACCCTCATTTGATCCATGAGTGGCACTTTACAACTATGCCTTTAGTTGGGTAAGCTAGGCATCGGGCATGGATTTCAATCTAAGAGAAACAAGGAGACAAGGTGGCAGTCTTGTATATTTTATTCAGTTATGTTCAAAATTGTTTGGAATTTGTTCAGATTAAATTGTTTGGAAATTATTTTGCATATTCACTGAGCAATTGCATGATTAGTTGCATGGCATGCATTATGGCACAGTAGTTTTGGTTATTGGGACTTTGTGTCTCATTCCTTATGGTTATTATATTTTACAAGAGTAGGTCCAACAAGAAAAGAACTTAAGGCTTAGACTTGGTGCATGAGACACCGATTTATCTTATTATGCCTCTTTTTAGAATTTAATGTATATTTGCCAACTTAGAGCTCATTTTGTTGAATTAGAACATGTTGAATCTTGACTTTTGTTAATCTCCTTTAAACTAAAGCCATGGGATTTGTGCCTAATGAAAGTCTACCCAAGAGGGGGGTGAATTGGGTTTTATAAAAATTTAGCAAATGATAAGTAAATTTAAAAGATGAGTTTAGAGGCATATCACCGAACACCAAGAAGAGAAAGGAAGAGAAGCTTGTACATATATTTATCTGGTTCAACTCTAACCATTCGAGCCTATGTGCATTCCTCAAGTTCTACTTGAGATTTCTCCATTAATTTTACCAAGATTAATCCGAGCTCTTGGTAGCTACAGTATAATCCCAAACTTAAACTAAAGTTTGAATCACTCCCCCTAACAAAGGTAATGATATAACCCACTTAAACTCTCTGAGTTTAAATTGCCCTGTTATGAGTTAGCAAAATAGAGGCAAACAAAGTATGTTTGAAGATGAACAACTATTGTTAAATACTCTCACTTAAAGTTGATTTATAATCAATGAAACTCACTCATAATAAATATAAGCTCAGAAAGTTGGTAAACAATAAATATGAATTACTTGAGTTTGTTTGTGTTCATTCATCTATTCACTATCTTCATAAATGCTTGTATTTATAGTTAGAGTCCATAAAAGATCTATTACACTTATGAATATAGTCGTTAGAGTCATCATCTTCTTTTCTTTGAGTTATCTGAGCAATCGTTGAACTGAGGCAATGAAACAGTGTTTTTTGGCAAA